CAAGACAGTGCTGGCAATAGATATTCACTTTGAAGATCTGAACAGCTGAGGTGGAAAAGAAATGAATTCACGTAGCAAGAATGTATTTGAATTTCTTCTTGCCTGAAGACAAACTCATTACAACCTTCCTATTGTTTATCATGGGTGGACTTTCCTAAGAAACTCACCTGAAATGAATCATTATTCCCAGAAAATAATTAGACTTTGTTGTTGCTGTTCTTGAGGTTATTTGAAACACATGACATATTTATAGGTTGAAATTTAGTGCTTTGTGTTTAAATATACAGAATCTCAAAGAGGAAGCTCAGTAGCCAAAACATACCTTTAACATACTTAAACTGGTCACCAAATTCTACATTTTAATTCTTTTTTCTTTTTAATTTAAAAAAGAGAGCTTTATTTCTCATAATGGATTGCAGTTTTCAGGGTGGCTATTCTGACAGGTTGGGAAGTGTGGCCTCCAGCCAGAAGCTGGAAACAGGCACTTTCTTAAATTTTAAGTCTATTCACTCACCATCCAGAAATCTATCCGAAGTCACAGGTAAAATCAAAATCCAGCTTTACCGATACAAATCACTTCTAATTTGATATCTAGGAGAGATCCAGAAAATATGAACAAGATAAACAATTTAAGATTTTCTTAAAGTGAAAAGTTTCTGCAACAGAGAAATGTTTCTGTTTGACCACTATTTATAATATTTATAGTATTTATCACTTAATTGACCAATGTGGTTTGTCTGTGTCCCCAGCCAAATCTCATCTTGAATTGTAATCAGAATTGTAATGCCCACATGTCACCAGAGGGACCTGGTGGGAGGTGACTGAATCATGGAGGTAGTTTTCCCCATGCTATTCTCCTGATAGTGAATGAGTTCTAACGAGATCTGATGGTTTTATAAGTGGTGGTTTTCCGGGCTCTCCTTCTCTCCTGCCACCTTGTAAAGGTGGTGTCTGCTTTCCTTTCAGCCATGACTATAAGTTTCCTGAGACCTCCCCAGCCATGCAGAACTGTGAGTCAATTAAACCTTCTTTGTTTATAAATTACCCACTCTTGGGTAGCATCTTTATAGCAGTGTGAAAATGGTCTAATATAATCATAAAGCCACATTTGGTTTTAATCTTGAGATTTAATACATTATTTTTGCTCAGTTTTTCTGGATTATAATGTTCAATTAGTAATAAATAGTGAAAGCATGCATTTTCAAGGTTACTTGATTTTTTCATTTTTTTTGGATGAACTGAGTTCAGAATTTTGGATTTTTTGAACTATTTTTAGGAACTTAGAAACAAAAAGAATAGAAGAGTTTCAGCTGGACAAATCTATAAAAATGAAATGAAGAACAGCTGAGTCTAAAACCCCTCAGAAAATAAGATCATAGGATTTCAAAGAATTCAAATCAAAAAATGCATCATGAATTATAAAGTTCTTCAAATGAATGTGAGCTCAGAAGTTTGAGTGGGTTAAAAAAAATCTCTCAAGATGGATTTAAGATGGCAACTCTGTAATAATGTCAAAAGTAAGAATTGCTTTTGTAGTAAATTGTTAGTCTCATTCATTCAATAGATATTTATTCAATGTCTGCTATAAGTCAGACTCACGTTGAGGCATATTTGTTTATCCAAAGAATACCTATTAATCACCTACTATGTGTTAGGCACTGTTAAAGGAACCATGGATATGTGAACAAAACAGCAGAGCCCAAGCCTTTGTGGTTCTTACATTCTAGTCAAGGTAGAGAAACCAAAATAAACAAAATATTGTAAATATGTCAAGGAAGATAAATGCTCTGAGGAAAAAATCAAGTAGACTGTACCAGTGCTGGGCCTGTTTGTCTCAGATTCATTCCTTGTCCTTACAGGGCTGGGAAAGGGGTGGTGGGTGCTGCCCCCTGCAGGTAGAGTGCAGCCCTCAGCATCAGTTTTTTTCATCCAGAGGGAGGCTGAAGGGAGACAGGAGGACAAGAAGAAGGAGGCACCAGGGCAGGAGGAAGGGAAATGCCAAACATAGATCTCCCTCTCTTGGCAGCATCTGCAGTGGGGCTGCATCTCTTCAGTGCTGCAGCTTCTACCACAACCACTGTGGCCAGGTGATATGGTTGCCTTTGCCCCTCCCTCCTAGGGGAAGGGGTTAGTGGCTCCCTACTGGTTCTAATTTCTGGATTGCCTCAGTGTCTGTCCTGTTTGACTTTTGTGAGAGAGGGGAAAGTTCTGCTTCAAAGTTTATATCTTAGGCTACATTATAAGGAGTTATAATCTCTTGCTCTATGGCCATTATCTACTATTTTAATAGACATATACCCATGCGTGTGTGTGTGTGTGTGTGTGTGTGTGTGTGTGTGTGTGTGTGTGTATATATATAAATTCTCTAAATCAGCTATGTCTTAAATCAGCTACCTTGACTCGCTCCAACATGTCTGAACAGAACTAGGCAAGCTCCGAACGCTGGTGCATGCCATTCCTTATTTGGAAACCCTCCTGACCTTCTCCTGTCTAGCTTCCTCTTCTTCTTGTCTTCTTCCTTGTCTTCTTTCCCCCTTATGTATTCAGGAAATTTCCAAGTTTTTAGTCAGTTGGGTCAAGCATAGAATGTGAGGTCCCATTCCGGCCAATGGAAACTGGACACAGCAGTAGGGCGATTGCATCAAGTTATGAAAGTTATAAATGTCCCTGTCTCCTTTGTTCAGGTGTGTTCTTGTGGCAAGACTCCCAGATAGTTGTATCCTTTCTGTAGAAAGTAAACTACCCTTTCTGAGTGATCCATTGTCTCTATGTGGATTCTTCCTGATGTTATAAACCTGTTTCCAACAGCTTTTCAGCTTCTTCCATCATAGATGCAAATTTTCTGCATTAAATGCTCCCTGTTTCAACTACCAAGAATGATTTCTGTTTTCCTGATTGACACTTGATACTCTTGGTTAAGGAATAGAGAAAGAGAGACAAATGTGGGGTGATCTGGAATAGATTACACACTAGAGCTCCTGGTGAAGACTTGAGATCTGAAGACAGTGAGCAACCAAACCTTATTTGGGAAAAAGAGTGCTCTGGAGGCATGACAGCAAGTCCAAAGGCCCTGAGGTGGGAATGTGTGAGCACAGTTGAGGAATAGTAACGAGCTTCTGAGGCTGAGAAGAAATTCAGGCAGGGGTGCAGTGAGCTGGATGGACATGAAGTTGGAGAAGTGTCAGAGAGACAGATCGTGTAAGACATGTAAGACTTTAGAGGCCACTACAGAGACTTCAGATTCTAGAAAGTTGGATTTTTTTTTTTTTTTTTTTGGACAGGGTCTTGCTTTGTCACTCAGGCTGGAGTGTAGTGGCACCATGTCAGCTCACTGCAGCCTCACCACTTGAACTCAAGCAATCCTCCTGCCTCAGCCTCCTGAGTAGCTGGGACCACAGGCATGCACCACCATTCCCAGCTAATTTGTTTTACTTTTAGTAAAGATGCAGTCTTCTTATGTTGCCTAGGCTGGTCTCAAGCAATCCTCCCACCTTGGCCTCTAAAAATGTTGGGATTATAAGCGTGAGCCACTGTGCCCAGTTCTAGAAAGATTTAAGCAGAAACAACATTATTTGACTTGTTATTTCAGAAAAATCACTCTGCCTGCTCTGAGGACAATAAACCATAGGAGCAAAAAAGCAGGAACTGGAGGTCTGTTAGGAGGCTACTGCAACAATCCAGACAGCAGATGACAGTGGTAGCAAGTAAGAAATAGACTGAGGTTATATTTTGAAGATAGAGATGAAAATTATTAACAGATTGGATGTGTGATGTGATATCAAGAGTCAGATATAACCCAACTTTTTTTTTTTCTGAACATGTAGAAGAATGGAGTGTCTGTTCACTGCAGTGATAAAGCATGGGGAAGGAACAACTTTGAGGAGGAATTCAAGATATCCAGTAGGCAGTTGCATAGATCAGTCTAAAGTATAGAAAAGAGTCTAATCATAGCAATATAAATTTGGGAGTTGCCATTATGTAGAGATACAGGATTGGATTAGGTCATTTAGGTGATGACCCAGATAGATACAAGAGAAAATTGAGAACTGATCCCCAATCATTAATTAACAGATTAAAGATCAATTTTGTTGTATATTTTCTTAATCTCCACAGCAATTCTATTTAGGCCTATGGGCACATTCTTCCTATTGGGTTTCCATTCTCTAATGCTGTGTGTCACTGAGCTCACTACTTCACTCTGCATGATTTACCAGGATTCTTAATCCTTCTAGTGGATTTTCCAAACCAGAGCATGGGCATGTCTTGCAGGATGAGGGATGGAGAGGTGGAAAGGAACTAGCCCTTAACTTTTCATATTTTGAATAAGTAGAGGACAGGCACAGTGGCTCACAACTGCAATCCCAGCACTTTAGGAGGCCGAGGTGGGTGGGTCAGATGAGGCCAGGAGTTCAAGACCAGCCTGGCCAACATGGTAAAACCCCATCTCTACGAAAAATACAAAAAATAGCTGGGGGTGGTGGCAGGTGCCTGTAATCCTAGCTACTTGGGAGGCTGAGGCATGAGAATGGCTTGCACCTGGAAGGTGGAGGTTGCAGTGAGCCAAGATGGTGCCATTGCACTCCAGCCTGGGTGACAGAGCAAGACCCTGTCTCAAAATAAACAAAGTAGAACATTCAAAAGTATATTAAATCATTCATGACATTAATGTAGGCCATAGCTGTATTTAGTAAATATACAAAAAGATCATACATTTTTTGTTAATGTAGAAATATTTACAAAATGAGAAAACTTCGATCTCGCCATCTTGAAAAAGATCTGTTGTCTACAATGTGGGAGAATGCTGCCTTACCTTCTGCTAAATGGTCTTTGAGCTGAGTTTCTTGGGGGTCTTGTGAGTTACTGAGACTTTATTTTAATGGGTATTATAAACATTACTGGCATTTTTTTCTTTTTCTCTAAGAATAGAACTTGTTTTAAGAAACAAAAATGATCAATTCAAAAATTTTATATTAGAGAAAATATTTCTTTCAAAAACTCACATGACCATTTTCCACCTCAGTCATTGCAATCAAATTAGGGAAACATCCTGCTTTGCAGACTTCATCCCTGGTGACAAGAACAATACATTTCAGAGTGGCATGCCTCCTCTGTGACCCTCAAGTGAAAAATGAGTTTGTTGATTAAGTCCTTGTCTTTACTGTGAAAGACAGTTGATCTCCACACTAGTTCTATAAATAATCATCACAATAATAACTATGTACTAAGCACAACATGTTATAGTTACTTTATGTTATCTCATTTATGCTAATGGAAATCCTATGGAGGGGGGTGGGCATTGTTGCCATTTAACAAATGGAGAAATGATGCTTACAGATTATCTTTCTTGCCCAAGGTCACATGATAAATGTTATAATTCAAATTCTGTCTTACATTTTTTTATTTTCATCTCATGGAATGTAAATGTTCTGGTACTCTATCATGCCCTGTACTCACCACTATCACTCAAAATTAAGCAAAACAAAACCCCCTTCTACACATTTGTCTGCTTACCTATAAGAACTTGATTCTGCTGATCGCCCCCAAACTTGCAGCAGCACCCAGCAGGCTCAATTGCAATGTGTTTCCTGGTTCTTCTGCAACATGTTTTACCAAAGTTCTAATTTCATGATTGCTGTGGTTTATTTTCTCAATAAAGAAAAAAAGAAGGAACACAGTTTATTCACCATTAAGCAATCCAACAACACACCAAATGACAACTGGTGGTAACACAGGTTATGTGGGACTTCATGATGCCTGCATCAGTTCATGAAGACAGTCCTGCAGAATGTAACTGTCAAAGATGCTCTGGAGGACTCAGCTATGTATAAACTCTCCACCCTGTTGGCCTGGGATTCCCTTATTTCACAGTAATAAAAATGATTAAAATGTTGGCTTGCAAGTTATTTTGCATAGAGTTACATATGCAAAGAATGCCAAGAGTGACAATCTAAAGTTTCTGTTTCACTGGCCGGGTGCAGTGGCTCATGCCTGTAATCCCAGCACTTTGGGAGGCCAAGGCAGGCGGATCACTTGAGGCCAGAAGTTCAAGACCAGCCTGGCCCACATGACAAAATCCCATTTCTAATAAAAATACAAAACCTAGCCTGGTATGGTGGCACATGCCCATAGTCCCAGCTACCCAGGAGGCTGAGGCATGAGAATCGCTTGAACCAAGGAGGCAGAGGCTACAGTGAGCCAAGATTGCACCACTGTAATCCAGCCTAGGTGACACAGTGAGGCTCCATCTCAAAAAATGAAAATAAAAATAATAAAGTTCCTATCTCGCTAACTGTCTTCACATCCATGATCTATTTGGTTCTCAAAATAATCCTTTAAGGTGGGGTGATAAGTTCATTTTACTCATTTATAGAGAAGAAAACTAAGATACACAACAAGCTGAGGAAAAAGATGCAATTCATATTTAGATAGCTTGGTTACTGGTCCTATATTCTTTAACACATAACAGTCTTTGCCTTTTCAACTTAGATTTTTATTGTTGAAGATCATTCATTTTAATCCTTACGACTCCCTTCTTAAATGATGGGAGCAAGCCTTCAGCATCTTGATATTCAGTAAAGTATCTGATACCAACAAAGACTAAAAGAATATATGTGAGATTGATATAAAAAATATCACAGTCATACTTCCATGACCTTGTTCAAGCTTTCATGTTCCCTTAATTTATTCCATGAGACAGAAGCCTAAGGTACGAGTGGTGGTCTGGAGAATATTAAAATCCAACTTACTGTCTTACACAATCCAAAGAACAAGAACATTGAGTAAATTTAAAATTTAACAAAGATGTAACAGCTAGTCACTCCAAAGAATATAGGATACTGGAAGCCGGTCTTAATGGGAGCAGGTGTTCATACAATCATAGAGCTGCAGCTTCCTTAGGATATCACATATATATAGTCAGTATGCTTAGCCTGAATGCCCAAGACAGTTTCCTTTCAGTGTCCTGTGGAAGCTGCAGCTCATTGCTGACTGGGCACGCAGCTGGCTGGGCCAGTTCTGAAGCTCACCTGGAGAAACTGCCTTCCACTTCCCCAGGCTGGGCGTTTCTCTTACTGGCTAACCTGGTCCCATCTTTTAGGCAGGGCCCTTGATGGCAGGTTGTTGACCCAGGGCTGGGTTGGACTTGAATTTGGACTGCTGGGCCCTCCTTTTCTTATTCCATATTTCAGTGCTTCATGGCTTTCTCATCACACTGGTAGTAACTTCTTCTTAGCTCTTTGTGGCATTTCCCTGAAGGAATTGAAAAGATCACTGACTGATGATATAGTTTGGATATTTGTCCCCAACCAAATCTCATGTTGAATTGTAATTCCCAATGCTTGAGGTGGGGTCCGGTTGGAGGTGTTTGGATCATGGGGGCAGATCCTCATAGCTTGGTGTTGTCTTCATGATAGTGAGTTAGTGCAAGATCTGGTCATTTAAAAGGGTGTGGTACCTCCCCTGGCTGCCCTCCTCCCACTCCCTCTCTTGCTCCTGCTCTGCCCATGTGACGTCCCTGCTCCCCCTTCGCCTTCTGCCATTCTTGTAAGCTTCCTGAGGCCTCACTGGAAACTAACCAGATGACAACACTACGCTTCTTTTAAAGCCTGAGGAACCATGAGCCAATTAAACCTCTTTTCTTTATAAAAAGTACCCTGTCTCACATATATTTGTACCAATGCAAGAACAGCCTAATATAACTGATGTTGATGTTGCAATACTGGCTTGATTCCTCCCAGCTTTCTTCTACTGCTAAAACTCTGAAGCCTACCCTTCTTTGGAGGAAGATGTGAAAACTGAGCTGTTACGGTGGAACTCCAGTGAATCTACAAAGAAAAATCATTCATATATTTTAATTTCTATGTGGAAGAGACCACCTTTTCTCCTGGAAAACCTAAAATGCATTTAATAATTTCTTCCTTAGAGTAGCAATTCTCGATTCTGGATGCAAAGTTAGAATCACATGGCAGGTTTTTTAAATTGGGCTCCTCCACCCTAGATCAATTACACCTGAATAACAGAAGGGTGGGGCCTAAGATTCTGCATTTCTAACAATTTCCCAGGGGTGTTGCTTCACAGACTTTATTTAAGTAGCATGAACTTTCTAAAATGCTGGTTCACATATGTTAGCATGCATCAAAATTACCTGGAGGTCTTGGGACCCACCCCTAGATTTTCTGATTCAGTTGGTCTTGAGCAGGCTTGAGAATCTGCATTTCTAACAAGCTCCCAGGTTATATTGACGCTGCCCATTTTGAAAACCATTATAGTTCACACTACCCCTGCCTCATCCCTACCCCAGCCTTTATGTCCTTCTAACACCACTGTGGCTACAAGGGTGAAGAAGACCTGAGAGCCTAGAGGGCAAGACCAAGGAATTCAGGTGGAGAGCCCTTAATCCTTTCAGTGTTCTTGAGTCTGATTCTCTAAATTTAACTTCAGGATTTGGTTAAGTCCACCAGCTATGACTCATGCAGTCTTCTCTCTTCAACAGTTCCCATGTGCATGTCACACGTTTATCAAACAGAGGCCAACCTCACATTCACTCGGGTTTCCTAAAAACCAGTCACTCAGTTCCTAAAGAAAACAGCCACCTCCCTTGGCTGGGCCAAGGGTTTGGAATACTGAAATGAGAGGTTACAGCCAGTTGTGAAACATCTTTCTCAGAAAAGACCAACACCCATCTGGCATCTGAGGCTTTGGGAATTTGTTTGAAGCATATGGACTTTTATTAAATCAATTTGGCAAATTACTTGAAAGAGAATTTGCTCACAAGAATCGTCTAAGGACAGAAATAGCATCTTTCTTTCTTGCTTTCTTTTTCTTTTTTTTGACACCGTTTCGCTCTGTCACTCAGACTTGTTTGCAGTGGTATGATCTTGGCTCACTGCAACCTCTGCCTCCCAGATTCAAGAGATTCTCCTGACTCAGCCACCTGAGTAGCTGGGATTACAAGCACATGTCACCACACTGGGCTAATTTTTGTATTTTTAAAAGAGATGTGTTTCACCATGTTGGTCAGGCTGGTCTCGAATCAAAATACTGACATGATTATGTAGCTGATCAGGGGAATGGGAAGTACCTGTTTATGAGATAATTCCTTATTTATTCTTCTTGCCCAAGGAAAGCTGCCATTAATTACTTCTCTGTTTTCATCTTTGGGCTCTGAGTGAAAGGAGGAGAGGACAAAGTAAATATAATTCCACTGTGTATGAAAAGGCCAGAGAAGTGAGAGTAACAAGCCAACGGCCAATTCTACCTGGGCTTAACTTGGAGTGGGCAGTTACAAAAGAGGATGATTCTATCAAGGAAGTTAAAAGAAAAAAAAAATTTCTAGAGCTTGATAGCAACAAGTCAGGTTCCACAAATCTCCACAGGGTTGTTAGATGAAAACATCAGGCTCGGTCAGTGAGAGAATATTCAAATCAATGACCAGAAAGGAATACAACCAGATCAAAGAACCAGACATTCTGTAACTACTTCCTTTTAAAAGACAGATCTAGATTAGCTCACTCTTAGTCTCTCATAAAATTAATCCTTAGCTGAGTGGACCCAAAAAACCAAGTAAAGTCTTCATAATTTTCTGAACTGAAATCTTTGAATCTTTAGCATGATTTAAAATTCTCCGTGCACCACATAGTGAAAACTCGAGGTGAAACAGCACTCTTTCATCAATCCTATAGGGCCTGACCATTGTTTAATAAAAGAAAAAAACACTAATCTACACAACCCACTCCAAAGTTTTTCTAGTATTAATGTACCTATGAATCACTAGAAATCTCAGTAAAATGCAGATTCTGATTCAAAATGGCCTTGAGTAGGACCTAAGGTTCTGCATTTCTAAAAAGCTCCCAGGTGAGCCCATGCTGAAATTCTCAAACACCTTAAGTAAAAATGATCTATTCCACCTAAATTGGTGTTTTAGATTACAACTCTTAAAGTGGCAAGAGAAAACACAGGAGACTTTTTTGTAACATTTTCTTCTTTCTACATAAGTCACAAACGCAGGAGTCATAATGGTAAAATAGACAAATTTGACCAAATAAAAATTTAAATTTCTACATGTCAGAAAATCCTATAGGAATTAAATGGCAAGATGGCAGATAGAAGGCAGGACTAGCTTGCAGCTCCCGCTTGCACAGACAGAGCAGCGTGTAGAGACTCATATCGTGAACCTTTGCTCCAAGAACTACAGCAGGAACATAGTAAGAAAGCTGAGAGAATCCACAGACTCTTTTAAGGGACTGGATCACTGCTGTAGGCTCCCTGAGATGCCGAAAAACTGTGAGTCGGCTTGCTTTTCAGCAAGGAGGCTAGTGGTCTGGGGCAAGTTCTCAGCCCTGGTCACTGGCTGCCTGGAAATAGACTCAGTGCTGTTGCGGGGGCTTGGTGGGAGTGAGACTGGTCTTTAGGATTGCCAGCTGCATGGGAGTGGGGTGAGGCCTGTGACTGCCAGCTCTCCCCCACTTCCCTGATGACCTGTATGACTCAGCAGATGCAGCCATAATCTCTTTGGGAACATAACTCCATTGCCTAGGAACCATGCCCCACCCCTACAGCAGCTGCAGCAAACCCTGACCCCTCACAAGAAGAGTCTAAGCTCAGACACATCTAACCCTGCCCCCACCTGTTGGTCTTTCTCTACCTTCCCTGGTAGATGAAGACAAAAGATATAATCTTTTGGGAGCTCTAGGGCCCTGCCCACCTCCTGAGAAAGCTGAATACTTAACCAGGCATACCTAGGGCAAGTTTGCATCCTCCCCATAGTACTATAGCTGATGCACTCTTGAAAGTGCCACCTCCTGGCTGGAGGCCAACCAACACAAAACCAGCACACTAAACAACAATAGAATGAAGGACCCTCACAGAGTCCACTTCGCTCCCGTGCTACCTCCACTGGAGCAGGTGTTGGTTTCCAGGGCTGAAAGGCCTAAAAACAGTTCAAACACAGGACTCTTTACAGACACTCCACAGCACCAGCTCAGAGTCCAGTAGCTCTGCTGGGTGGCTAGACCCAGAACACCACAATCACTGCAGTTCAGTTCTCAAGAAGCCTCATTTTCAGGGGAAGGGAAAGAACACCATATCAAGGGAGCACCCAATGGGACAAAAGAATCTGAACAGCAGCCCTTGAGTCCCAGATCTTTTATCTGACATAGTCTACCCAAATGAGAATAAACCAGAAAAACAATTCTCGTAATATGACAAAACAAGTTTCTTTAACACTCACAAAATATCATACCAGCTCAGCAGAAATGGGTCCAAGCCAAGATGAAATCTCTGAATTGCCAGAGAAAGAATTCAGAAGGTCAATTATTAAGCTAATCTAGGAGGCACCAGAGAAAAGTGAAGCTCAACTTAAAGAAATCAAAAACATTACAAAGGATATGAAAGAAAAAATCTTCAGTGAAATAGCATAAATAAAAAAAAAATCACAACTTCTGGAAATCAAGGACAAGATTAGAGAAATATAAGATGTAATAGAAAGTCACAGCAATAGAATCTAACAAGCCAAAGAAAGAACTTCAGAGCTCAAAGACAAGGCATTTGAATTAACCTAATCAATCAAAGACATATTAAAAAGAATTTTTAAAAATAAGCAAAGCCTCTAAGAAGTTTGGAACTATGGTAAATGTCCAAACCTAAGAATAATTGGTGTTCCCAAGGAAGAAGAGAAATCTAATTTGGAAAACATATTTGAGGGTGTAATCAAGGAAAACTTCCGCAGCCTTGCTAGAAATCTAGACATCCAAATACAAGAAGCTCAAAGAACACCTGGGAAATTCCTCACAAAAAGATCATTGCCTAGGCACATAGTCATCAGGTTATTTAAAGTCAAGACAAAGGAAAGAATCTTAAGAGCTATGAGGCAAAAGCATCAGGTAATCTATAAAGGAAGAACTATCGGATTAACAGCAGATTTCTCAGCAGAAACCCTACAAACTAGAAGGGATTGGGGTCCTGTTGTTAGCCTCCTTAAGTGAAACAATTAACACCCAGGAATTTTGTATCCAGTGAAAATAACCTTTATAAATGAAATATATAGTCTTTTCCAGACAAGCAAATGCTAAGAGAATTCACCACTACGAAACCAGCACTATAAAAACTGCTAAAAGGAGTTCAAATCTTGAAACAGATCCTTGAAATACACCAAAATAGAGCCTCCTTTAAGGCATAAATTTCACAGGATCTGTATAACAATAGCACAATGAACAACAACAACAAAAATACTAACATTGAATATAAATGACCTAAATTCTTCACTTAAAAAATACTAAATGGCAAAATGGATAATAATTCACCAACCAAATTTCTGCTGTCTTCAGGAGATTCAACTAACACATAAGAACTCACATAAACTTAAGGTAAAAGGGTGAAAAAAGTTATTCCATGAAAATGAATACCAAAAGTGAGCAGGAGCAGCTATGCGGATATCAGACAAAACAAACTTTAAAGCAATGGCAGTTTAAAAAGACAAAGAGAGACATTATATAGTGATAAAATAACTAATCTAACAGGAAACTAACACAATCCTAAACATATATAACACTGGAGCTCCCAAATTTATAAAACAATTACTGCTAGACCTAAGAAATGAGATAGACAAAAGCACAATAATAGTAGGGGATGTCAATACTCTACTGACAGCACTACACAGGCCATCCAGACAGAAAGTCAGCAATAAAACAATGGACTTAAACTATATCCTACCACAAATGGACTCAACAGATATTTACACAACATCCTAATCAACAACTGCAGAATATACGTTCTACTTATCAGCAAAATGTAACATTCTCCAAGATAGACCATAAGATAGACCACA